GCTTGGTCATTCAGACACAGTGACAACTAAGAACATCAGAAGCCACCTCTGAGGGGTGAGGCCACCCTGCGGTGGAGGGAGGTGGGGCCCACATCCTGCATTTGCAAATTAATCCATTTGCTAAATTTGTTTGTAACCTCAAAATCAACACTCACTGTGCCTGCACGGTCACTCATGAACATGCTCAGAGCAAGGAAGACTGAATCACTGACGCACCCCCGCTGCGCTGGAGCGAGGCCACACTCCGCCTTCTCCTTTCCACTCAGCCTGCGAACAGTCATCCTTTTCGTGGTCTACTCAGTGCCATGTTTTCAGCATCTTTGCGCCTCTGTTGGTGATTTCGATCTTTAAAATGGCCCCAGGCCCAGTGCTGAAGTGCTGTCCAGTGTCCCCAAGCGCAAGCAGCTGTGATGAGCCTCACAGAGAAAACGTGCGTAGGTGAGCCTTGTCGAGGTGTGAGCCGTAGCGCTGTTGGCCGTCAGCTTGATGTTGATGAATCAACAATATTTATATATACATGTGCAGTTTTTTTGGAGAACATTTTAAAATATTTATTATTTTAAATGACAATAAGAATCCATTCAATGTTAACATAAAACACATAATTATTTTCCCAAACAAAATTTAGTGAGAAGAATGACCATTGTTCAAATCTCTTTAATGTTTGGCTTAACAGAAGGCGGCGGAATTCCCATACTTGCTTCTTCTTCAACCTGTTGCAATAGGTGGTAAAGTCTGGCTTCACGCAGGTAGACAGTTAGAAATGGAGGAAATTTTAATAGCCTTCTCAGTTAATAGTATTCTTTGATACTATCCCCAAAATTGACAAGTGGTTGAAGGTTCCTGGTTTTCAGTCAATTCTCACAAAAATTATCTCCAAAGCTATGACATTGTTAGGGTGCAATACCAAAAATTAATATATATGTGTAATAAATATATATTGAATAAAGGTGTCCTTAAACAGAAACACAAGGTAATGTATTGACTTAGTGCCAAAAATGTGACCAGAGACTGGCAGGAACCTAACTCAGTTTTCCCCTAAAAGCAATGGCTCAGTATTCCCTAACTCAGTGTTCGTGGTGTATAGTTAACTGTTATCCTTGATAGAACAGAACTATCTTGAACAATGAGAATCAACTGTAATTGATGAAAGAATCACCTCCAGAATATATAAAGAATTCCTACAAATCAATAAGAAAAAGAAATTAAACAGAAAACACATTTAACAGAGCCTCACAAGAAAAGCTGCAAATGGCAGACAAATCTACGACAAGGTGTAAGCCTGCCTTGCCATCTGACACTGAGTCAAAACCACACCGAGATACCACTGCGCCCCTCCAAAAAAGGCTGAAATTGTGGAACTCCTAGTGTCCAGGGTTGGCAAAAATGTACAGCAGAGGGAAGTTTCCTACATTGCTGATGGAAGCATGAATTTTTATTTTTGTGTGGATTTTTGGAAAAAATGTTTGGAATTATCTTCTAAAGGTGAACATAGCATGTCCTGTGACCCAGTGGTTTACCCCAGCAGATGTGTGGATATATGTGCATGTGGTGTCCAAACATAGGGACAAGAATGTTCAGGAAGCATTATTCATAATAGCCAAGATCTGGCAGTAATTCTCAAGCCTATTAACAATAAAATAAATAGGCTGGGCGCAGTGGCTCACGCCTGTAATCCTAGCATTCTGGGAGGCCGAGGTGGGAGGATTGCTTGAGGTCAGGAGTTCGAGACCAGCCTGAGCAAAAGTGAGATTCCCATCTCTACTAAAAATAGAAAAAAAAATTAGCTGGGCATGGTGGCACCTGTCTGTAGTCCCAGCTACTCGGGAAGCTGAAGCAGGAAGATCGCCTGAGCCCAGGAGTTCGAGGCTGCAGTGAGCTATGATCACACCAATGCACTCCAGCCTGGGAGACAGAGCAAGACTCTAAAAAATCAATCAGTCAATCAATCAACTGTAGTACCTACCTACAACCGGATAGCAGCAATTGATGTGCAATTTAATTTGCAGCAGCAATAGAAAGGACTGGTCCTTGGAGCTCAAAACAAAATGTCGAATGAGAGAAGCCAGTCACCAAATAACACAGACTCTGCTGTCTCCTGTGCAGTTCAGCACGGGCTTGAATAGTCGATGTGTATATGAGTTTCCTAGGGTTGTCATAGCAAAGTACCATAGACCGGGTGGCTTAAACAACAGAAATTTATCATCTCAAAGTTCTGGAGGCTGGAAGCCTGAGATCAGGGCGTGGGCAGGGGTGGTTCGTCCTGAGGCTGCAAGGGAGCACCTGTCCCAGCCTCTCTCCAGCTCCCAGTGGGTGTTGGCATCCTTGGCCTTCCTGGGCTTGCAGAAGCACCGTCCCAACCTCTGCCTCATTTTCACGTGGCGTTCTCGCTGTGCACATGTGTGTCTCCAAATTTCCCCTTTTCGTAAGGATCATACCATTATACTGGATTAAGGCCCACGCTAAAGACCTCATTTTAACTTGATCACCTCTGTAAAGACCTCATCTCCAAATAAAGTCACATTCTGAGGTGCTGGGGTTAGGATGGCAATATATGAATTTTGGGGGACACAATTTTACCCATAACGATGTGTTTGGACTTAAGCATAGTGGCTTCCTTGGGGAGCAGGGAGGGAAGACGGCCCTCACCAGAACCCAACTTCCCATCCTCCTCAACTGTGAGAAAGGCACTCCTTGTTTAAGCCACCTGGCCTGCAGTTTCCGCTGTGGTGCCCGGGCTGACCGACACAGTGTGGGAAGGGAGTAGGACACACAGAAGAGGCTCTCCACCGGAGCGGACAGTCCCGTCAGCCCTTTTAGTGAGAAGCTGCAAATTGTTTTCAAAGTTTGTGGGGGGTTGATGGAAGTATTGTTCGCCTGCTATTTTAATTAACATGCTGGATCAGAAAGCACAGTCAAGTTCAGGCAGACATGGGTCAGATGTGGGTTTTCCTTCTTGAAGCTCTCCACTTTCTCCTGAATGGGGAAAAGAGTGTCCTTAAATACTATTTTTCCTCAAAAGTCAGGTGCAGTCTGTACCACGTGGAGCGGGCTTCGTTAGCTCTGTCTCCTGGGTAGCAGGGCTGGGTCACAGCCCTCCCAGGGCCAAAAGGCAGGTGGGGCCTGGGGCGGAGCTGTCTTGGTGATCTGCCATCTGGCCCAGGGCAAGTGCAGGGGCATAGCCTGGCTGAAGGGGACAGAGGGCAGAGGAGGATTAGGGTTAGGATTAGGGTGAGAGAGAAGGGGTGGGGTCCAGGTCCTCCCAGCTGTCTGACTGGCAGGTGCAGGGACTAAGGGGCGGTAGACCCAGCAGAATGCTCCAGGGGGAGGAGGCAGCATGCACTGACTCCTCTGGGCACTGGGCTAGGACTCCCTCGGCCCTTAAACAGCCTGCCCCAGGGCCCTGGCACTGGTGATTCCTCTGCCTGGATGCTTCCGGTGGCCACAGGCCAGCTGCTCCTGGTCACTCAGCCCTGTCTCTCTCCATCCACAGCTGGCATAGAGACACTAGGCATTTCAGTCTTGTTTATTCCTGTTTGCTGTTGGCTGCCCAGAACACAGCTCCTGGAGGGCAGAGAGGTCCCTGGATGCATGTGGCTTCACCTCCTGCATCCCCACGGCCGCCCAGAGACCCACCTCCAGCAGATACTCCACCAACAGTTTCTCCACAAATGACCACTCCTCCAGGCTTTGAGCACCCAGGCTCTCCTCTCCCTTTGGGCTGGATCCCTGGCACCATCCTCTCCTGGACACAGGGCCCACCCGCCACTCCTGGGATCAGAGGGCAAGTGTCCCTCTCCCTCCCTCCCTGGCCTCAGGAGGCTCTAGCACACCCCCGGGCATTTCCTGGAATCCTTGTGGTCATCAGTCCTCCCCTGGGACATTATCTTCCCCTGGCTGTGCCTTGTCCGGGTTTTCCTCTTCCTCCAGCCCCACCCTGCTGCGCACCCCTGGAGCATGCCCTTCTCCTGAGGCCCTGCAGTTTCCTGCTCTGCTGCCCAGGGTGAGGACCGGAAGGGACCACGGTGGGTCCCCCAGGAAGTCCCTTGGCCAATGATGCCCAGCGCGGCCATGTGGACTGCAATCCACGGTTAGGCCCTCAGGAGCAGAGACTCGGAGTGCTGCCAGCGGTGGGGGCAGGGTGACCCTCGTGGACACGTCCCCAACCGTCACTGGTACCACCTGGACAAGACAAAGCTGTGCGTGCTGGGGCCGCCCCTCCACGAAGCCCCGCGGCGTCCCGAGGGCCCCCTATGGCCGGATCTAGGAGAGCTGGGAGCGGAGGCGGGGAAGGGTGGTCGAGGAGGCCCGGGGAGGGTCGTGACGGACAGCCCCGGACCTCCCTGCTGGCAGGCGGGCACAGTCGAGTTACGCCCCGGGGACAGCGCGGCTCCGCGGCCCGCCTGCCGTGGGGACGCTCACCGCTCCTGGGGGACCTGTGCCCGCAGCGCAAGTTCAGCGCGCGGAGACCCGGCAGACCGACACGCCCACGCGCCACGCGGGGTCCCCGCGAACTCCGCCTCCTGGAGGCTCCCCCAGCCGCAGGGCCGCCTTCCTCCGGGTCTCCTTGCACAACCGCGAGCCGCGAGCGAGATCTGCGACCCGCGTGGGAGGCGTCCCTCTGCGCAGCCGCGGGCCTGGGCGCCGCAGGTGCGAATGCCCCGGGTGCGGTGTACGGAGGCTGCGTCGGGGAAATCTGGTTCGGCTGCGTCCCGAGGGCTGGCGCAGGCGGTCAGGCCGAGCCCGCGCGAACCACGCCAGGCCCGGCCGTGTGGTCCCGCAGGGTGCAGAGCGAGGCTCCGCGGGCCCGACTCTGGCCTCGCACGGTAGACCCCACCCCGTAGACACAGCCTCCGCCCTCGCCCCGCCTCCCGGCCCCGCCCCGAGGCCCGCGACTGCGCAGTGGGCCCGGCGCAGTCGGCAGCCTGGCCGCGCAGGCAGAGCCGCTGAGGCGCAGTCGACCCCAGCGCTCACCCACCTCCAGCGTGCCCGCCGGGGCTCAGGCGGCTCCGGCCGGGAATGGCTGCGGCGGCCGAGCCCGGGGCCCGCCCCTGGCTGGGCGCCCCGAGGCCCGGCAGCCCGGCCTGCAGCCCGGTGCTGGGCGGCGGAGGCCGCGCGCGCCCGGGGCCGGGGCCCGAGCGGATCGGCGCCAGATCCCTGGGTCCCGCCGCCGCGCCGGGCCACAGCTTCCGGAAGGTGACGCTCACCAAACCCACCTTCTGCCACCTCTGCTCCGACTTCATCTGGGGGCTGGCCGGCTTCCTGTGCGACGGTGAGCGCCCTGCTGGGAGCCCTTCCGAGGCGGGGCCGGCCTTTCCCAGAACGCACGCCGCTCGCCTGCGTCGGGGTCCCGGCCCCTAACTCTAACCTTAACCCTCTGGCCCGGGTTCTCCCACCCCGGAGTGCGCCCCTCACCTTGAGCTTTGCTCCTGCCAGCAGCAGCCTCCCCAGGACAGGGCCCCGGACGCCAGCTGGGCCCAGAACCTCCCTGCTGAGGTGATGGCCAGCTCTTTCAGGAGCGGGGGCAGTGTGCCCCAGTGCAGTCCTGTGCATGGAATCCAGGGGTGTGCTGGGGACAGTTGTGGTGGTTGGGGGTGAAGCCAGATGACCTCGAGGCAAGTCGGACCTCCTCTGGGATCCCCATGGCTAGCTTCCTCTCCTAGCAGCTAGGGCAGCTGTTGTGGCCAAGTAGGGCTGGCCTGGGCCCTGGTGCTGTTCTCCCAGGTGTGTTGCCCTTAGCATGGCTCCACCCAGCTGCTAAGCTTGCCAGGCTGGGGCCAGGGTGGCCCTCCCCACCTCTGGCTCCCTGGTGCTTCTAGAGTTGGCTCTTTTCTGGTCCTTCTCTGTCCTGTAAGCAGGTGGGCCCTGGAGACCACAGCCCAGCCTTCGTAGAGGGAGGCTGGGACAGGATCAGAGTGTTTGCATGAAGTGCATGGATGTTTGACACTTGCTGTGTCCTGGCCTGGGTTGTGGAGGTGGGAGGGGACTAAAGAGCCTCTGCCCTACTCAGGGGGACAGGCCTTTCCTGTGGGGAAGCCAGGGCCTGTGGAGGAGATGGGGCCTCTCACACAAAGGGGATGCCTTCTGCAGTGGAAATGGCGTGGTTGTTCTGACCAGGGCTGCACGAGGTGGCCTGTCCAGCTGGTGTGGGGGTGGTCTGATTTCTCTGTCAGATCACAAACATTGCACTGCCCTGTCTGCCCCCTGGGAGTGCCAGGGGGTTCCCCTGAGGTGGAGGAGGTACACGTGCAGGCTGAGTGGGCCCCAGATCTGAGGCTAGACCATTGGATTTGACACACAGGTGAAAGGTATAAAAGGCAGAGTTCCAGGTCTGAGGCTAGATCCAGGATCTCTGCAGCTGAGAGTTGATAAAGGCAGAACTCAAAGTGTGAGGCTAGACTCAGGGTCCCTCTCACAGGTATGACTCTGTAGGTGGGGCTCAGGAACCCTGAGTGTGGTCCTGGGGCAAAGCAGCTCATGGAAGGAGGACGGCATGGTGCTTGGGAGGGGCGTGGAGCAGACAGAGGGCCCTGGCAAGGCTGCGGGCTGAGGAGGAGGCTGGGCAGTGTCTGCTGCAGCTGCCTCCCACAGTTATCAGGGTGCTCTCCTCCTGTCTCCCGACTTCTCTCCTCGAACCAGCCTACTTCCAGAAGTTTTCTCTAGAGTAGCCCATGAGGAACTTCTGTGTGCCTCCTTCTAGGGACTGGGGTTTTCGGGGCTTTGGTGGGAGGGTGAGGTGCATCCTAACTGAGGGCCTTCTGGGAGAGCTAGCTGTCCCATGACCAGGCTGCCTCTCAGCTCCATGGGCAGTCTTCACCCAAGGCTGTCTTGGCTGGTATGCCCTGCCCACTTCCCAGCCTCTGCAGCCTCCACCCTCCTGTTGCTCCCACCCAATGAGGCTCAGACCTCTGCCCGACTCCTATCTGTCCATCTCCCTGCCGAGCAGTTATGTGAGGATGGGGCACATTGCCTCCCCCAGGACAGGTGGGGTGTGCTGCTTCCTGCTCCCTTGGCCCTCCTGAGCACTCTACTGCCAGAAGTGCTGCCCTGGGCCCTTGCACACAGCGGATGCTTAATGGTCCCTGCCTCGGGAAGCCCATCCACCTCTCCAGCGGCTCCTGCCTTCTGGAGCCCTCACCTGACCGGCTGGCTTTGCCTCCTGGTAGCTTTGGGTCTCAGGCATGGCGCACAGCAATTTGGGTAGAGTGAGAGAAGGGTGTCCCTGGTGAAGCCAGTCTGGGGCTTCAGAGATTGTACAGATGCAGGAGCTTGCCAAGCCCCCTGCCTGTCCAGTGAGGCCAGCGAGCTGCAGGACTACCCCTCAAAGAAGCCTAACTGCAGAGACGAAGGAGAACTTGGCCTGCGTGCAAGGGGCAGGGCTACTGTTAGGAGAGAGGACACGCTCATTGTCCTCCAGGATGGTCAGGGCCACCCATGCCCTGGATTCTCAGCCTTGGCCTTTCTCAGATGAGGGAAGGAACTCAGAGGATCATAGTACCCAGGGGTTGCCTAGTAGGGTTGGTGGGAATTGCCTTTGGTGGTCCTGCTGGCCAAGGCCCAGCCCTGGAGCCTTTCACTTCCTGGGTGGGTCAGGACTCACTCACTCTCATCTTCACAGTCTGCAACTTCATGTCCCATGAGAAGTGCCTGAAGCATGTGAAGACCCCATGCCCGAGTGTTGCACCCAGCCTGGTCCGGGTGAGTGTGGGGTGGGGGTGCCACACCTGCCAAGAGGCTGGGGTGTGTGTGTCAGCTCTCGTGGGGTGGAGGCGCTGAGACCCCGGCTGTTCTTCATGCTGTCAGACTTTAGTTGCACCCGTGGTTAAAAAGCAAAGGTTGTAAAACTGCTCAGGATTTAAAGGAATGAGCTGTTCACTCACTGAGCTCCCTGGATGGGCCTCCAGGGAACTGTGCTAACTGAGGAAAGCTGATCCCAAAGGTCACATACTGCATGATCCTGTCCATAGAATCTTCTTGAAGTAACAGAACTAGAATGAGCGCAGATTCGAGGTTTCCAGGAGTTAAGGAAGTGGGTGTGACTATGAGGGCAGTGGGGGAGGAGGGGCGGGGATGGAGGTTTCTGTATCTTCACTGCATGTCAGCGTCCTGGCGGTGACACTGACTAGTTTTGCAAGATGCTACCATTGGGGGAAGCTGGGCACAGGATATAAAAGATCTCTCTGTACCATTTTTCACAACTGCATATGAACCTACACATATCTCAAAATAGCAAGTTACAAAGTAAAGACAGCTTTTTTGGAGCTTAGGGAGGTTTTGGCCACCAACCTCCCTCTGCAGGGCTCTGGGCAGGGCAGGAGGGTGACTGGCCCAGGTCCCTGAAGGGCACAGGGCACTTCCCTTCTCTGAGTGATGGTGGTGAAGGCAGCGACATTTGGGGAGGGAGGGCTGACAGTGTTTGGGGCTGTTCTGCGTGGGCCGTGCTCATTCCTCCCTCACTGTCAGCCTTGCTCTCTGCAGACTGGGCCCTCCCCAAATTCCTCAGTGCGATGTGTCCAGGCTGCAGGTGGGGTGCTGGGCAGTGGGACCCACCCACTTGGTGCAGTGGTAGAGTGCAGGTCGTGAGGTGGACAGCATGAGGGGAGCCCGGGGCAGTAGATACACCTGCTACTGCTCAGGGTCTGGCCGCGACCTCTCCCTCTAACGTTTGATGCTAGGTTTGGGAACAACTTGATTACCAAGCTGAGTGCAGAAGAGCCTGAGGACGCTGGCTCCTGGGGGCAGCCAGCACCCTTGGGATGCCATGTCAGCCTGGGCGGTCCCTCCTCATGTGGACATCCTAAGGCTGCGATTTCCTAAAGTTGATTTTAATGTTTTTTTTTATACTCTGCTAAATTAAAAAATATGAGTATGTATTTCAAATATATGCATGATGGAAAATTTAGAAATACAGATATTTAACAAAGAAAATAAATATCACCCACCATTCTGGCATATCCCCAGTTACCATTCTGGTATTTTTCTGTTTATTCTTTTGTGCATATTTTAATCTAAGTTTTGGGATACTGGGGTAAGGACAAGGTCAGGAGTGAAGACGTGATCCCTCTCCTGCCCCTTCTTGTGGACAAGCAGAGTCCACACCCCGCCACACACATTCACACTCACTGCAGTCCGATTCCCTGCTGGGGGATGGGTCTCAGGGGTACGTTGAGAGCCCTTGGACCCAACTGCATGGCAGTTGACAGACCTTTGCCTGGCCCAAGAAGGGAATTGTGGGTGGCAGGTGGGCTTCCATCTGTGTCAGGCAGGACTTGATGGAAGTCACAGAGCCCTCTCCTCTGCTTTTGATTGGCCTGGCTGCCCCAGGCCTGGAGCTGTGGCCGCTGCTGGGGCTTCCTGGGAGGTACAGCTGGACCAGGGCTGGGCAGTCCCAGCAGAGGCCTGAGCTGCAGAATGGTCCAGGTACAGAGGGAGAGGGTGACATGGGCAGGCTATTGTCAGCCCTCATGGAGTGTCTAGGTGGGCATGGTGGGGCAGTCCCCAGCAGTATCCACATGGGGTGAGGCTGCCCTGTGCTCCTGCCAGGTCCCTGTAGCCCACTGCTTCGGCTCCCGGGGACTCTACAAGCGCAAGTTCTGTGCCATCTGCCGCAAGGGCCTGGAGGCACCTGCACTTCGCTGTGAAGGTACCCCCTAGAGCCCACCTGGCTCCCCCACCTCACCGAGGGTCCTGGTCTCTGCTGCCCAGTGGCTTGTCAGGCGGAGGGTTGGCCTGGGGGCTGTGGCCACGTGCTGCTGGCCAGGGTGCTGGGGGGTGGAATGTGGAGGAAGGGACCCAGTGGAGCAGAGAGGCGAAGGGGCATAGAGGGGCTACGGTGCTGCAAGAGGCCCCTAACCCTGCCCACCCCCCCAGTGTGTGAGCTGTACCTTCACCCCGACTGTGTGCCCTTCGCCTGCAGTGACTGCCGCCAGTGCCACCAGGATGGGCACCAGGATCACGTGAGTGCACAGGTGCCAGGGATGCTGAGCACAGGCCTGGGTGTTCCAACCAGGCCCAGCTGCTGATTGTCCCCTTACCCAGGACACATACCACCACCACTGGCGGGAGGGGAACCTACCCTCAGGTGCGCGCTGCGAGGTCTGCAGGAAGACATGCGGCTCCTCCGATGTGCCGGCTGGCGTGCGCTGCGAGTGGTGCGGGGTCCAGGTGGGGTGCACTGCGCTGAGAGGTGGAGCCCTGGGGGCAGGGGGCAGATGGAGTGGTGAGGAGTTCAGGTGGGGGAGAGGAGCTCAATAGGGGCTGGGAGGTGGGGCAGGAGAGGTGTGGCCTCCAAGTAGGGGCCGTCTCTGAGGGTGGGGTGTGTGTGGGGTCTTTCTTTCCTTCAGCCTGTCTGCATCTGCATCCCACTCTGTTTTCAAGGCGGGCTCCCTGTCCCACTCTGGCATTGGGGTCCCCTACCCCTGTGCACTGTGGAGGTGGGGTGAGGAGCTGTCAGCCCTGTCCCTGCATGGGTGCTCTGCATGGGCTGCGGCCTGGACTCCAGCCCCAAGACCCCAGGCTCAACCCCATGTCCCTCCAGGCCCACTCGGTCTGCTCCACGGCGCTCGCCCCCGAGTGCACGTTTGGGCGCCTGCGCTCCCTGGTCTTGCACCCGGCGTGTGTGCGCCTGCTGTCCCGCAACTTCAGCAAGATGCACTGCTTCCGCATCACCGAGACGGTGGTCCCGGAGCCAGGTGAGGTGTTTAGGCGGTGGGGGGCGGGCCTCAGGTGCCCCCTGGACTTGGGGCGGGCACTGAGTGAGGGGTCCGTGTGTCCCGCAGGGGAGGAGGACGGCGGTGTGGATGGAGGTGCTGCCGCTGGCCCAGGCAGAGAGATGCTGCCACCTGCAGAGTCCAGTAAGTGCCCCCATTAGTCCCCGCCCCGCCCCCCACCCCTCAGGTTCACACCCGCTTCCCTGGCCCAGGCAAGCAAACCCTGAAGATCTTTGATGGCGACGACTCGGTGCGCAGAAACCAGTTCCGTGTCATCACGGTCCCCCGCCTGGCCCGGAGCGAGGAGGTGCTGGTAAGGGGGACCCTGGGCAGGGGCGGGGGTGTGTGGTGTCCAAGGCCATGCCCCACACCCACCCACCCTCTGCAGGAGGCAGCGCTGCGGGCCTACTATATCCCGGAGGACCCTGGCAACCTGGAGCTGCATGCGCTGCCCTCGCAGGCCGGTGATGCGTGGGCCCGCGCCAAGGTCGGGAGAGCCGGAATCTCGGAGGAGGAGGAGGGCAGCAGAGGCCCGGAGTCCTGTGAGGCCTCACCCGAGGCCTGGGTCATCCGGGCTCTGCCCCGTGCCCAGGAGGTCCTGAAGATCTACCCTGGCTGGCTCAAGTGAGACCCGGCCGGGGCACTGGGCCTGCTGGGTGGGAGTCGGGAGGGGGTGGGAGGAGGCTGGTGCCTGAGCTCCTGGCGCCCACAGGGTGGGTGTGGCCTACGTGTCCGTGCGTGTGACCCCGCAGAGCACAGCCCGGATGGTGGTGCTGGAGGTCCTGCCGCTGCTTGGTCGCCAGGTGTGTACTCTGGGTCTGCTTGTGCTGGGCAGACGGGGTCACTGCCTAGTGGACCAGGCTGCTGTCCTGGCCCAGGTGTGGCTGCTTCTGTCGGCCACCCCAGGCCTCATGGCCTGCCCTCTGCCCCCACAGGCTGAGGGTCCAGAGAGCTTCCAGCTGGTGGAGGTGCTCATGGGCAGCAGGCAGGGTGAGTGAGTGGTCCGTAGTTAGTGTCCGCATTCCCTGTGCATGTTCCGGGCCGAGGACCTAGACCTGCTGCCTCAGGCTCCTCCAGCGTGGTGCCCAGGCCGTCGAGGCCAGACCCTGCCCTTCTGATAGTTCCACCCTGTGTCCCCACATGCCCTGGGAGGGGGGCAGCTGTCTGCAGAGCTGGGCGAGGAACCTGGTGCTGACAGGCTGTGCCCCTGGCCCCTGCAGTCCAGCGGACAGTGCTGGCGGATGAAGAGCTCCTGTTCAACCGGCTTTGGGACATCCGGCAGGTCAGAGGGTGTGGACATGGCCCCAGGGAGCTATTGGCCTGCAGCCATGACCTCTGCCCCCCAGAGCAGTATCTTCCCCAGGGACAGAGCCCAACCGGGCTGAACAGTTGACCCTCCTGGCCAAGAAGTCACCTGTTCCCAGCAGGGTGGGCTGTTGAGCCACAGACCTCCCTGAGCTCCCTGAGGGGAACGGACAGGGGACCGCCCACAGGAAGGAAGCCTCCTGGCCTCACTTTCTTATTTTTATCTTGCTTCAGCCCTGGGGAATCTTCCCGGCAACCCCTTTTGTGGATGGGGTTGCGGAGGGCCTGGTGCTAGTGGAGCCGTGTCTGCTCCGGCCCAGCATCCCCGCCTCTCTCCCCGCAGACCTCCTTGCGGCAGGTGAGCCAGACGCGGTTCTACGTGGCAGAGAGCAGGGCTGCGGCTCCTCGAGTCTCCCTGTTCATTGGCGGCCTGCCTCCCGGCTTGTCCCCCCAGGAGTACAGTAACCTGCTGCACAAGGCCTTGGCCACCAAAGGTGTGACCGCCATGGCTGGCCAAGGGCTGCTGGCCGGGGGCGGGGTCCTGACGGCAGGCAGTGGGACTGCAGTGCTGAGGCCTGCTGGGCCCAAGTGCTGTCCTATCCAGGCGGGCTCCATCCTCACCTCCAGGCCCATCCCGCACACCCTCCCCCGAGGGCCATCTGGGCGTTCTACCCTCTGCGGCCATTTCCCGTGGTGCCTGGCCTCTGTCTCTCCCTCTGGGTGGGTGTGTGGGCCCTGCCTTTCGGGGAGAGGGAACCCTGTTGCTTGAGTGGGGCATGGCACTTTCTGGGGGAGCTACCCTTGGGGGTGCGAAGTCATCCTTGAACCAGGGGGCAGGGGCCTGGTCCAGGGTTGGGAGAGGTCAGGCCCCAGAGGGAAGAGTTTGGGGGCCCAAAGTGGGGGGAATGTGGCTCCTAGAGAGAGCAAGTCAGAGGGCCCGGGGTAGAGGGATGTAGGCCCAGGCCTCTGCGACGTGCGTTCTTCACCATCTGCCACCCTGACTGCAGCCTGCCTTTGCAGCCGCCGTGGTGTCCGTGAGTCACGTCTACTCCTCTCAAGGTGAGTTGGCACTCAATGGGTGTGGTCACGTGTGGCCAAAGGTCATTCCTGGAGTTAGGTGGAAAAGCCCTGGCCCTCTTTAGCACCTGACCTTTGCCTCAGGGAGCTGTGTGCTGGGGAAACATCTTGGTTGTGGTGCATGGGGCAGGCCCCTCCCTGAGTCTCACCCCCCGCCTCAGGTGCAGTGGTGCTGGACGTCACCTGTTTCGCAGAGGCCGAGCGGCTGTACATGCTGGTCAGGGATACAGCTGTGCAGGGCCGGCTGCTGACTGCACTGGTGCTCCCAGATGTGCTGGTGAGTGAGCAGTTCCTGAGCCGGCTTTTCAAACACTCAAGGGGGGTGGCCGGAGAAAAATCCAGGTCTGCAAGTGCACAGTTCCCCCAGCCAGACGCACTCTTCGTCTGGCATCTCTCCCTCGGCTTCACTGGGAGTCAGTTGGTGCTGCCTTGTTCATGCCTCATGACAGCCCAGGAAGGACACTGTTGCCTGTTGTACACCAAGGGGCCTGAGGCAGTCTGGCGGGTAAGGTCTGCCCCTCAGGCCACCGTGGGGCCAGGGCCAGCTGTCTTTCTGGACTCCGAGGCTTCTACCTAGTGGGGAAGACCACAGGACGCAGCTCCCAGCCCCACAGAACACACTGGGCCCCAGAAGGGCTGCCTCAGTAAGGGCCATGTGTCAGTGTCCCACCACCCTTATTCTCTTGGGTACAGCATAGCTCCCCTGGGAGGCCTTGTGGTCCCTGCTTCCTGCCTGGAGCCCCTAACCCTCACCCTAACCCTGGCAGTAGGTAGAGTGCCCTAACTTTGGACACTATCCTTAAGACCCAGCAGTACTGGGAAGGGGTGTGTCTGGCAGCAGTACAGGGTGAAGGGGTACCGCCTGTGAGTACGACATGGGTCAGAGCCCTCGGGGGCTGGAGCCTGGACCCCACACTGTACCCTGTGCTCTCACAGCAGCCTCTATGGTCTTCAGCCCCTCACCCCTAAAGGGGCCCATGAGGCCACCGTCAGAGGCCTGTGGCTGCTTTGCTGTACTCAACCCTGACCCAGATCCCTGACCCCTGACCCCAACCCAAGCCGAACAGAATGAATTTGGCAGTCTATGATTGTGGTAGGTGATGCCTGTGTCCCTTTTGCCGCTTGTACCTAGCCCTGCTGAGGTCAGGACAGGGTAGCTGTTAGCCTCAGCCCCAGCCCCAGCCCCACACGCTCCGTGGGCAGAGCTGGGTGTGGGCCCGACATGCACTTTCTCTCTCCTGTCAGCTGCCTGCCTTGGGGTGAGTGGGTAAGTGGTGACCGCAGGCAGCTCTGCCTGCCCAGTGGGTCATGCGGCCCTGAGTGTGTCCTTGCCCCGAGCCGTAGCCTAGCCGTGTGCCACTGCCCACCCTATGTATGCACCCGGCCTGTCTGTCCTGTCACCCAGCCCTCCCCTGCTGTGGGGAGCCCAGCCTTGGGCCCACTGTGTCTAGATCCCTGGGCGCTGTTTTCCTGGGTGGTATGTGGGGACATGGGCTCTGTCTTGTGGCCATGGGGAGACATGTGGCCACCCTGTGGATCAAGCAGCTTTTCCTGGCTGCCATGTAGGCGGACAGAGGCCTAGGAGCTGCTGTCCCCTAAAGGTGTGTGCTGGGGGCCCCTCGAGAAGTGGATCTTGGTCTAGCTGGCTGGCGGGCAGGCCCCACGTGGGCTTTCAGCCCAGACTTGTGGCTGTGAGGGCCAGGTGGCGGGCGTGGTCTGTTCACACCTGGCACAGTGGGAAGGGCCGGGCCTTTGTGCTTGGAGCAGCAGCCAGCTGGCTTCAGCGCTGCCCCGTCAGCCAGCAGCAAGGTCTCATGTGTGACGGTGCAGCCATGCCTTCCCTAGGAGGGGCTGGCCCTAGGCTGGGTGGGTTCAGAGTTGGGGGCCAGACATTGGCTGGGACCCCCAGTGGGAGGGGCACCCAATCTTGGGTCCCCATTCTAACCCAACCCCCCTCTGTCAGCACTGGAACCTGCCCCCAGACAGCTGCCCCCTCCTCGTGTTTGTGAACCCCAAGAGTGGGGGCCTCAAGGGCCGAGACCTGCTCTGCAGTTTCCGGAAGCTGCTGAACCCTCACCAGGTCTTTGAGCTGACCAATGGGGGTCCTCTTCCTGGGTGAGTGTGGGGGACTGTGGGTCCAGGGCAGTGCTCACTGCAGCAGCCTGGGTAGGAGGGGTCGGGGGGGCTGCTGTGCTCCCTATACCCCATCCACCCGCCAGCAGCAACTCCGACTGGATTCCATGTTGGAATCTTCCAGTCCTCCTCCACACAGCTGGAGATGGGCATTTGAAAAGGAAGTGGCTGTCTGGGGTGGGAATGGGCTGAGGCCCTAGGGGACCTGGGCAGCCTGGTGCCTGCACTGTGCCCTGTGGTGGTGGCTGGTGAGGGACACTTTCTGTCTTCCTCCTGCTAGGTTCCACCTGTTCTCCCAGGTGCCCTGCTTCCGTGTGCTGGTGTGTGGTGGGGACGGCACCGTGGGCTGGGTGCTTGCCGCCCTGGAGGAAACACGGCACCGTCTGGCTTGCCCGGAGCCTTCCGTGGCCATCCTGCCCCTGGGCACAGGTGGGCTCAGTCATTGAGCTGAGGATTGGGCCTAAGGGTTTATCCCTTCCTGCTCTGAGTTTCACCTGAGGCCTGGGGTGGTATCTCTGTCCTCATGGATGAGGACTGGATGTGGAGAGTTGCTCTATGTCTCACCTGTGTCCCAGGAAATGACCTTGGCCGGGTCCTTCGCTGGGGGGCCGGCTACAGTGGAGAGGACCCGTTCTCGGTGCTGGTGTCAGTGGACGAGGCCGACGCTGTGCTCATGGACCGCTGGACCATCTTGCTGGACGCTCATGAGGCTGCTAGTGCAGAGAATGGTGTGGCAGACGCAGAGCCCCCCAAGGTACCAGGGTGGCCTGTGGCGCCAGTTAGGCTCTTGCATGTGACTGCTGTGTGTCAAAGTGCTTATCCTCTTCCTAGCCACGCTCTGCAGGCACCAGCACCATCCTCTTTGTAAACACGGCAGCTGAGGCACACAGTGCGCCATGTGCTGCGGGGGGACCATGCCCAGGGCCAGCTGGCTCCAGAGCCTGGCCAGGACCCCACAGCATGCTGCCTTGTCATGAAGTGCTGGTGGTCGTTGATGGAGTGGTCCCAGAAGCTGGAGCTCGGGCCCCTGGAACATTTGGGTGTGGGGTGAGGAAGCTGGACCCCCCCTTGGGGAGCTCAGAAGTGCCTGGTGAGGCTGCAGGTCCTGGGAGATAAACCCTTGTCCCTAGATCGTGCAAATGAGCAACTATTGTGGCATTGGCATTGATGCAGAGCTGAGCCTGGACTTCCACCAGGCGCGGGAGGAGGAGCCTGGCAAGTTCACGAGCAGGTACCAGAGCAGCAAGGGATGGGAGCCTGGGCAGCTCTGAGCAAGGTGGGCCTGCTATGTGGTGATGGCATACTTCCTGGGGATTCTTCAGCAGGAACTGGCAGAGAGGGGCCAGAGGTGGGTGATGGTGGGTGCCTCCCCCCTGCAGGTTCCACAACAAGGGTGTATACGTGCGGGTTGGGCTGCAGAAGATCAGCCACTCTCGAGGCCTGCACAGGGAGATCCGGCTGCAGGTGGAGCAACAGGAAGTGCAGCTGCCCAGCATTGAGGGCCTCATCTTCATCAACATCCCCAGGTTCGAGCAGAGGGCTCCCAGGGCTCTGCCCGCCAGCCCCTTGCAGGCTTGTGCCTTACCTCTGTGTCCATCCGCAACTCTGGCAGCTGGGGCTCAGGGGCCGACCTGTGGGGCTCAGACAGTGACTCCAGGTTCGAGAAGCCGCGCATGGATGACGGGCTCCTGGAGGTGGTGGGCGTCACAGGCGTTGTCCACATGGTGAGCCGGCCGGCCGGGTGGGCTCGGGTGGTGCCCGTGGCCCTGCTGAGCCCGGCTCACCCCTCCTGCCCCAGGGCCAGGTCCAGGGTGGGCTGCGCTCCGGAATCCGCATCGCCCAGGGCTCCTACTTCCGTGTCACACTCCTTAAGGCCACCCCTGTGCAGGTGGACGGGGAGCCCTGGGTCCAGGCCCCCGGGAACATGATCATCTCAGCTGCCGGTCCGAAGGTACGTCAGGTCGGGCTGGGGCTGGGGCTGGGACTGGGCAGGTGGACTGTTCAGAGTGACTGGTGGTGGCTGTCGTGCCCAGGTGGTTCTGGCATGTTTTGGCATGGTCTGGGTCTTCCCTGACCCCAGGAGGCCAAGAGGTCAGTGGGGGCATCTGCCTCTCAGTGGAGTTGAGTCCTCTTGGGCCTCAGGGGAGGGGCGTGGCTGAGGAATGCCCGGTGATGGGCTGCAGGTCAGGGCCACTTTGCCAGGCCCTTCCTCTTTAGCACTTGGGTCCCAGGGCTGGGTAGCTGGCCTTGTGCCTGGTCTGCGATCTGTCACATCAGCCTGGCCCTCCGATCCCCACCTTGGGACAGGTCCACATGCTGCGGAAAGCCAAGCAGAAGCCCAGGAAGGCTGGGACCTCTAGGGACACCCGGGTGGAAGCCACGCCTGCCCCCGAGGGCGATCCCAAGTAGAGGTGGCTGAAGCAGCAGGGCAGGCTGAGAGTGTCTGGACCTGCCATCCTTGTCATCAGCTCCTTGGGGTACAGCTGGGCTTTGAGTCCACAGTGGCTGGCCTGGTGATGGAGTTGGCCACAGCCCTGACCAGAGCATCTTCCTGGGACCCAGGTCGTTTCCAAGCCCTCTTTCCCATCCACTGTCACATGGAAACTGCTGGTTGGCTATTTCCTTCCCTGCCAGGTGTCATTGCCATCAAAGATCTTCAGGGTTTGCTTGCCAGGCCATGTGACAGGTGGGCTGGCCAGCCCTCTGCCCTGTTGCTGGATATTCCCGGGGGGTGGGCAGTCCTCCCTTCCTGCCCCCCACCTCCCAGCGCTGATATAGGTTGTCTGGGTGAGTCCGACCTTGTTTTGTGCCCCTCAGGCCATCCCCCTTGACTGTGGCTCTGTAGGGGCCCTGGGTGTGTCCCTGCCCAGCAGATAGAGAATGTTGCCAACTCCTCCTGGCCTTACTGCCCACACTGGCTAGGTGGTGTGGGCAGTCCCTGCGTTCTGGGGTGCCAGTCGGTGGTGACCTCCTTGTCTGCCTTGGACGGTATCTCCCTTGGTGTCCCAGTCTTACCACCATAGGCCATGAGCACAGCTGCAGGTGCAGTGTGGGCTGCGCTGGGTCTGGCTGCCCTTAGCTCTCTGATGCCCTAAGGCTGGGTGGGTTTGGTGCTGCCCACGTGGCAGCTGGAGTGTGGGCCAGGCCCTGGGTGACCCCCGCCAGTCCCAAGGGTGAGGCATTCAGCACCCAGAACAGACCAGAAGCAGAAACTTCTCTGATGCCCTGAGGCCGGGTGGCCCAGACAAGTTTATGGAAGTGTAACTCCTGGCACACGCGGAGGGGCTGGCTTTGATCCCCTCCGATCCCACTTTAGCACCTTATATGCCACTTGCCAACAGCTTTCTCACATTAGTGTGTAAAGACCCTCCCGTGCCTCCCAGCCCCCATGGCTCTGTGGACCGTGCTGCTGGCCAGGCCATGCTTGGGGTGACGGGCTAACAGATGGCCCAAATGGAATGAGACAATCTGCATTTGCCCCGTGTCTGAGGATGACATGTTTCACACCTCAGACCCCAGAAATCTGACCACCCCAAAGGAAAGGGTCCCCTAGTCCAGATCTTCCCTGTTTGCTTATGGGGCACAGCTGGCCTGGGCCTCCCTCTCTGGGCTGGGGCTGTCCCAAGTTTGGCCTTCACCTCACAAGTGGCTCTGGTTTGGCTTCAGGAGTGTATGGCCCAGCCCAGCCTACAGCCTCCTGGGGGGGTCTTGCTGCCACACCCCCCATCCTGCTTTTGCCAAAACTGCACAGACAAATGCATTGTAATGGCCATTTGTGGCTGCCAGTATATACATTCCTCATGTCTGCATCACTTGTGATCTCTCAAGCAAGTCCTTAATGGTGTAATTAGTTTTCGCTTTGCAAGCCCTGGTGTTGATTTTGATCTGTAGGAATTGTTTGTACATTGTGTCTAGGTGGCTTGTCCTCCTGTATTTAAGTGAGTCTGTCTGCCCAGATGGGGTCTGTGTCCCTGGTGCGCGGGTCCCCCCGCGTGTAACTTATTGCTACCTGAATGTAATAGTAAATTATATCCAGGACAAATACAGTCTGGGCATTGCTGTCCTGCTGTCTCTCCCTCTTGTGTGTGTTGAACGACTCATTGAGGGGTGGGATGGGTGGTGTGACAGCCCCTCAGATGGGCCTGCTTGGCAACGTCTTTGGGGAACTGGGTGGGTAAATGCAATAAAACATGTTCCTGTGAAACTCTTCTCTGCAAAAAGTGGAGACCAATTTGAGGACACTGAAACAGAACATGATATTTCATAACAAAAATAAAGCCCAGGCCTTGTAAACCTGTAGCCCTGGCCATCAGATGATCTTAGCCGCCTTCCTCGTCAGTCCCAGATGGGGATGGGGGGAGTGGGCTCTGTGGCCACTGTCAGGGAGCAGGAAGGAGCAGCGACTGTGAGTCGGCCTCGCCCGTGGGGCCTGGCCAGGGGTGTGCTGGGCCGGCCAGGTTGCGCAGGCCCCGCAGGCCAGCCTGGCCCAGGCGCACGAGGAGGCGCAGCAGCAGGAAGGTGGAGGGCACGGTGATCTGCATGAGGTGGAAAATGGCCGTGCTGAGCCCACTCAGGAAGCAGGTGGAGGCAAAGGCCAGCAGGCTGGCGCAGGGGTACAGGGCCAGCTTAGCAAACATGAACGCGTGTTCCTGGCCGCCGAACCACACTGACGGTTGCAGTGTCTCTGCCTCGTGCAGCAGAGCCGCAGTCCAGATGGCTAACTGGAAGATGCTGGCAAAGAAAATGATGGCGCAGCTGACGCGCACGCGCTCAAGCTCATCGTGGGGCTGCTGGGCGAAGGCTGAGGTCTGCTGGTAGGCCAGCGGGAGGCCACCCACGAAGGCCAGCGAGAGTGTGTTCAGCAGCCCCATGGCCTGTGTGGCCCTGCGCACGTGCAGGAAGAGTGAGTGGTGGGCGAACCAGAGCAGGCCCACTGTGGCGAAGGAGCCGAAGTATGCCAGGAAGCGTGGCCCATACACGCCCAGTGCTGCCACCAGGCTGCCACGGAACTTTTCCCTCACGTCCTTGGGATCTGGAACGTTGTCCTCGCTGAGAATCAGGAACAGACAACATTTGTACCAGCCTCCCTGAGGCCCACACAGTCCCCGGTGCCAGGGCCCACATGACTCAGATGAACGATGCAGCTGGCTCAGTGCACTGCGCTGTGCTATGGACACTTCATCGCCCCTCTGAAATTCACACGTCCATGGCAGCTAGTCTGTTCTGTGCTAACTAGCAGCCCTGCCCTGCTGGATCCCCCAGGGCTGGTGGGTGGCCCTGGCCCTCTCTGGCTGAAGTCAGTGTGTGCCACCACCTCCCAATGTCTGCTCCACGGGGCCAGCCCACAGGGGAGCTGGTGAGGTCTGTTCCCTCCCTCGTCCATACCCCTCTTTGAGCTGCCAGCACAGCACCCTGGAGGCCGGACACCTGTGAGAGGGGAGTGGTCCTGCAGATCCGAAGAGGGTTTGCCTCTACAGTTCCTAGGGGGGCACAGGGAGTCCCAGGAGACTGACTCCTGGGCCGAACTCTCCAGGGAGCGTCAGCAGGGCACGTGCAGCCCTAGCACCTCTGGGCTTCTCCCACAGCCACAGAGGAGGCTATGAACCACTTTAGTCAGGGTCGCTGCCCCTAACAGCACATCCTAGAAAGTGGGGGATCAGCATCTTCTCTCATCAACTGGACTGGAGGATGTGGTCCTTGAAGCAGCCCAGACAGATATCCATCCTCCAAAATGGGGGATGGGTACAGCCTGGGGGCAGGAAAGAGCCTGGGGAGGTTGCCCTGGGAATGAGGCCCGAGGCAGCTTCTCAGCACATGCAGGAAACTGCACGAGGGTGCCGGCTGAGCCCCGAGCCACGGCTCTAGGTGGTGGGAAGAACCCCCCCAGCCCTACCCCAAACTACAACCTCTCCTTGCAGGTCACTCAGTGAGGAGGCAAGGCCTTGGCTGCAGGGCAGAAGCAAAGGGAGATCATTCTGGAATGTTCCTTAAACCTAGACTTTAGAGAACAGGTACCAAGGAATATCTGCTTCCAGTTTTAAAAACTGCACAAATCACAGTAGAAAAAAGCCACCAAGAGAGTATTAGGAGACTCAGACTTGAGACTATCAGGTATGGAATATAAAATCAGAGTGTTTTAACATGTTTAACAAAATGAAAGCGCGTGCTGAGGTATGACTAAGGAACAAGACACTATTAAAAAGGATGGAAGATGTAAAAAACCAGAAATGTGGTAACTAAGATCAGGGCTTTTACAGAGAGCAACTGGTGAGGCTGGAGTGGGGGTGGGGATAGGGCTGGGGGCTGGCCTCTCCCTGGTGCCCCCCAACCCTGCCCACGCTCTCTGGTTGTGGGGGGTTGCAACATGGGAGACCTCACTCTCTGGGAGATCTGCCCTTCTTGGGATGAGCTCTGGACACCCAGGGGGAGGACAACCTCTGTGGATTCTCCAGGAGAGACACCCGGGACTCAGAGACAGACTCCCACCTGACGGGTGGCATTGGCAAGGGGTCCTCACCAGATGTCCAGGATGAGGAGGGTGGCCACGATGGCATAGACGCCGTCGCTGAAGGCTTCTACCCGCTCCTTGCTGAGTGGCTTGTGGAGGTCGAAAGCGAACTCCAGAGGGTGAGCTGGGGGCTCCTGGTGGCCTGTGGACATGCCAGGAGGGGGAGCTGGCCAAGCCCCTCTCATGTGGGGCTGTGGGGCTAGCACAGCCATCACTTCCCTCTTTCCTGAAAGGGCTGGAACATGCTGGCCAGAGACTGTGCAGGTAGCTGGGAGGGGCGGCGGGGAGGCAGCCAAGACCAATGGTGCCCAGAGCCAGAAGCGGGGTCCAGCTGAGTACGCCCCGGCCTTTGCCTTGTGCTCAGTTCTGCCCCCACCCAACATCCTTGGAAGTAGCTGGGAGTTGGGTGGTGCCTCCCAGCAGCCTCAGTGCAAAACAGCCACGTGGAGGATGGGCAGCCTGTGGGCCTCTCAGGCCAGCCCACCCACGGTCACCTACCAATGAGCCTGTCTCTGCACCAGCTGGTGGCCTTGCAGACGTAAGGGAGGAAGATGATGGTCGCCATCAGCAGGTAAGACTGGAGGGACACATACAAGTTAGTTCCCAGCCAGAAACCCCACTCTGAAGCCATCAGCTCCAAGGGGGCGGCGGGCAGGACAGCAGCAGGACCAGGGAACTATGTTTTATTGCGCTGAAGAGCTCAATAGCATGTCGAAGGGTGGCCACAGGAAGAGAGAATCTTGGCAGATGATGTACCTGATAAGAGTTCAGTGTCCAAAATGCATAAAGAACTCATACGTCTCAACAATACAAAGACAACCCAATTTAAAAATGGGCAAAGGACTTGGACGTTGCTCCAAAGAAAATATACAAGTGGCCAACACACCCATGGAAAGATGCACCACACCGTCAGTCATCAGGGAAATGAAATCAAAACCACAGTGAGCTACTTCTATACCCCAGGACGGCTAGAATCAAGAAGACAAAATAACAAGTGTTTATGAGGATATGGGGAAACCGGAACCTTGTGCACTGCTGGTGGGAACATAAAATGGTGCAGCTGCTGTGGGAAACAGCACAGCAGTTCCTCAAAAAATTAAACACAAAGTTACCACATGATCCAGCAATTCCACTTCTGGGTATGTGCACAGAACTGAAAACACAGATTTGAAGAGAGATTTGTACACCAGTGTTCACGGCAGGATGATTCACAGGAGCCAAAAGGTAGAAGCAACCCAAATCTATCAACCAATGAGTGGATACACAAAAGGTGGTTTAATCCACACAAGGGACTGTATGGCTCGGAGATAAAAAAGGAGTAAGATTCTGATACAGGCTATGACATGGATGAATCCTGAAAACTTTATGCTATGGTTAAGAAGCCAGACACAAAAGGCCACATATTGTATGATTCTATTTATATGAACGTGCACTGGAGAATCCAGAGACAGGAAGTAGATCGGTGCTTCCCAGGGGCCGAGGGGAAGGAAGCAATGGGAGTGACTGCTTGTGGGTGCTGCGTGTATACTGGGGTGATGAAAAAGTTCTGAGACTAGACAGAGGTGATGGTTGTGCAACCGCACAGCACCATGAATGCACTAAATGCCACCGAATCCTTCACTTTAAGATGCTTACGATGGTAAATATTATGTGTATTTTGCCAAATTAAAAAGGGAGACAGAGGGCCAGCAAAAGTGTTTGGGGCCCTGTCTTCCACTTGGCCCTGCAGAAGTGCTGGGGACCACACTGCACTGAGCTCAGGATGGCTCAGCCACAGACGTGGTGCTCCCCACGCCCTTTTCCGCAGCGAGGCCTGGATGGCTGCGCATCTCCCCTCCTGACGTCCTGCAGGTGGCTCCGTGGTCCAGCCTTGCCCTCTTATCACTGCCCTCCCCACTGCGTGGCCTTGGCCCACAGCAAAGTGTTTCTACCCCTGTCTTTCACTGTAAGCACCTCACAGTCACCTCAAGCGGGTGAGAATACTACAAATAACAACATAAAGTCCTAGATTTGTTTATAATCCGGTTTCCCACACAACAAGCAGCGAAATCATACACGTCATTCAACAAACATGCACTGAAGCAGCGCCTCCCAGGTGCGAGGCAGGTGTGGGCAGGAGGATGCCAGGAAGGCAGGGCCCACAGAAAAATAGGAAATGCAACTGAGGAAGGGGGAGCCTGCCCTGAGGGAAGGTGAAGCAGCTAAGGGGGTTTCGCCCTCCACCCAAACAGTTGCTGGTATTCCTTGCCTGGACAGTTTGTGCAGGTTTCTCATCCAAATGAAAGAAACAAGCCCAGCCCTGGACTCCTGGCATCTGTTTCTCACCATTGCCATTTTGGAGCTTCACTGAGGACAACTTAGACACCCCCGTGGATGAGTGTTGATTCTCTGTCCTCCACAGGCTGCCTCCTGGGGGTTTCGGAGGAGCAGCAGCAGCACCTGCTTCCTGCCCCGGCCACGGACATCTGCCTTCTCCTAGCATCACTTGCTGCAGCCACAGGCCTCGTAGAGAAGACCCTTGGGGGGACCTCTGCCTACCCGCAGCCCTGCCCTGC